CAGCAGAAACCAACGACAGTGATATTGATAGCGGGGATATCGCGGATCTGGAGGCCAATACTTCCGATGAGGACGAGTCGTCATTCTTCAACGATTCGTTTTTCGATTATGAAGCAGTTGAAGTAGAAGAACCACGGTCAAAAAATCGACGAATAGATTAAAACACAAAAAACACCACATTAACTTTTGTATAGTAAATAAAATTCAGTTATTTAATATGAGAATTGTCTGTACATAAAATTTGACCTACCGCTATTCCGCGTTTAGTGTGTATTTAAGTGCGAGATTTTGTTCAGCTTTGGAACTCAGTTAATCTGGGATATAAACATTTTCATTTAAGCGATAGTGTCTTAAGCATACTTTTGTATGTATTTGTATGTAATTTGAGTTTGAATCAAAGTTTTAAGAAGAATTGAGCAAACAGTCTATAGCGCAGTTAAACACTCCAGCTGGTTTCAGAACGAAGATTTGGCAAATCCTTTCCCGCACCAAACATGTAACCACAACGTTCAGTGGGAATACTCAATAATATACCGAAGTTTTACATGAGGACTATTAGGTATAAAATTATACATGGTGACAATTAGGATTATTACATGGTGACCATTGCTGATCATTTAATACATGGTGACCATTATGATTTATACCTAATGGTCATCCATGTATGACAACCCCCCCCCCCCGATCCTAACGCACTATATGCATACTACTATAGCACAATAACCAAATGTAGAAGAAACGTATGAACAAAAAAGTATCGAACAACCACATACCATTAGCTTCCGTTCACAGAACAATCATCTGTTTAGCCCATGATGAGCAGCAAGATTGGATCCCTCAACCGTTCCCTTTCCCTTTCATACCCATCCAACCTCCAACGTCACTCTCAGATCTTACCAGTTTTTGGTTTCACTCCCTACCATGAATCATTCTTTATTAATAATTCACCAAGCATGGATTCAGATGACACTTCGACAAACACAGTTTTTCACACAATCTGACAATTTAACAACTCTGATATTGAAACTCCGGATGATTTCGCAGACTCCGAGCCTAACCCATCCACTTTTTGCCAACCCCCCTTTCAACCACTCCATACCCAAAATCCCGATGAGCCTTCCTCAGCCCCTTCTTCCTACCCTGATGCAACCCCAATTTACTCCCCAATGACTAGCGGCCCACCAGACCACTCTAGCCCCGTTGATACAGAACTCGAAAACTAACTAGACAACTTCATAACTTTCCAACAACAGCTACAACCCCCTAACACACTAAACATTCATCACCTCTCACAAATCATGACATCCTCAGAATCCTCCAACATCGCATCCGCTACTGTAGAAACCTGAGCCCACCGAGTATTTAAACGAAAACTCCCCAATACCCCAGTCCCTTCTAACTCTCGACCAGCTCAAACAACTTCGAATCATTCACTTCATACTAACACAAAAGAGTTTCTCTAAGTGTGCTTACCATTTTTTCCACAATATACTTACTATCACTCAAATTCTAACGACGATCAACCAAATTACGTTATCGAAAATGCCTTAAATCCCACACTTTCATGGACCTCACATTATCATTTCAGTAATCCTTTATCACTTCCACTAGGTAATAATCCAGACAACAAGGGTTTATGTCACACTAGACTATATCACCTAGCCACAGCACTTCATGAAAAACAATTCACAACCATCGGATTAAACCAAACACTAAATAGATTCACTGTAAAAAAAGCTAACCGATTTTCCAATAAACATTATGATCACGCCAATGCACTATCCAATGAAGATAACTTTTTAGATGATGATACTAACGCTAACCCCCAACTAGCTGAAAATTTTTTCTTCAAATCACAATATGTAATTCCTATAAACTGCTTGAAAAAATTATGATCACATTATATCCACAGCACTTCGCGACACAAAAGCCCACGAATCCTATTTCATTAAACTTAACCTTTTTCACTAGCCTTTATTTTCCTAACACCAAAAGAACGTGACTTAAACTGCTCGCATCAAACAATGTTACGCACAAAACAAACTCACACATACACTTTATATAAATTCATACAACATCATTACACAACTAATACACCATCACAAAACCCATCGATTTCAATTTAATCTCCGAATACACTTCACCATTCTTCTTAAACTTCACATAATGTATAAAAAACACTAAAATCCAGGGAATCATTAGAAACTACGACCCTATCCGACAAATGTATATATTCTGCCCACTAACCCGAAATGAATACCGTCCACTAATTGTATCTCACGAATATATAAAATCCGCTGAAATCCCAATCCTAGAATATATTGACAACACTAAATAAAATCATAAGCTTTTCAATCTGATCCAAAACACACCGCATGAATTCTTATTAAGTAGCGAAGAGCACAAGATCATCAAAGCACTTGAACTGCTTTGGCCTCTACTGCGAACGAAATATATCACCCGCTTGCTTGCTAATGTTCTAACATCATCGAACGTCATTCACGATTTTTTCCCGAATGGAATTTTTGCTGATGATCAAGTAAGTATAATTATGTATCTTACACTAATAAATTCAAACACAAATAATCATTCTTTTTTAAGGTTTTACTTTCTTTTTTAGATCTCATCACACAATCATCTAAAACAAACAAAAACAAATTAAAAAAATGAAAACTTCTTTCTCGAAATTCTAGACTCGTATTAACAAATCGCAGTATATTTGAAAAGCAGTAAAATGTTCCCCCAAATAGCAGTAAATTAAAAAATAATCCTCAAAGCAGTAAATTCATAAATTAAATCTCGCAAAAGCAATAAAATTAATATTTCAATGTAGTAAATTCATAAAAAATCGCAGATAAATTAAAAAAGTACTAATTTTTTTACAAGACGCTTCTTTTATAGGTTTGTTTCATTCACTTGCCCATAAAACTTTCTCCACAATCGCACAGCTCGCCCACGAAGAATTGTTTAAATAATGAATTAATAGTTTTATTTCTCTTTCTCACTGATAACAACTCTAACCAGTTTTCCCACGTTTCAAATTTTCCTTTACCCGGTTGGAAGGAATTATACAGTAAATTAAAGTAACCAACGCAGCTTACTAACGTCACAAAACCATAAACTAATAGCATGACTAAGAAAGAAAAACCCACGGTACCCAAACCAGATTAAATCAGATTAAAACTGAATAAATGATTCTTCAAGTACACTTTCAAGTCTTACCACAATCGAATAAAACACAATAAAGTCAAATAACAAAACCAAACCAAAAGATTCAATTTTTGAGAAAAGGACACAACCAAAACAAAAAGAGAAAAACAGGTAATAAAAACGAAACAAAAGTTTGAACACAAAAAAGACTCTGCTTAAAGAGACCATAAAAAGTTAACTCACACGTGGCCTAACCCACCAGAAGGATGTCGCTCGAAGTATATGCCCACACCGTGGGATACTGTTGGTAAAACTAGTGTATCAATCCGGTAGCATCGTGCAAAATAGCGGGCAGTCGTAAAATTCTGAAATTTTTAAGTATTTGTCCAGGAAAGAGTTATCAATACCAATCAAGCCACCATAAGGTTTTAACTCAATTAAAATGTCGTAGTTAAGATTATCAGAACTAACAAAAAAACAGATAATGCAGCCTGAAAAATTTTTCGTCGGTTAGAATTATCAGGATAAGTTTATGACAGAGTCGTATAATTTTCGTGAATTATTTTTAAATCAATAGAAGTTACTCTGCTTTTTGCAATTTCATTGTTCATTTTTTTGCAACACCTGTCCAACCTGCTAAATTTCAAGCCAGTGGAAATAAAAGTGACCTTGCAGATACCAATTAGACTCATTAAGCTAACGGTGGTAAGTAATTAAATAAACCACCGGAAATACACACGGAAGTATCAATATCTTCAGTACACCAAATTCCCTCTAACTTCAATTTTCTCATTTCAAAATTTGACAAATTTATCATTTGGTATATTTTGACCAGAAATGGCCTCCGCCTTTAAAAAGTAATTTCAATTTACTGCGTTTTCTTCATAAAAAATGGGTCAAGTTAAGGAATTAGTTTACTGCAGCCAACAGTTAAGCTACGCTGCCAAAATCGCCGGCAAATTTTTATTATATACCATAAAAGTCAATTCTCCGTTCACTTACAAATTTCAACTAGGTTGAAAGTTCTTTTGCCCGAAACAAATATAACAATTTTCATGATTCATATAATTAACCAGGACTAATAATTAGGACCCCAAAAAAGGAATTAGAAAGAATTTTGTATCGTGTCCCTTGTTGCTAAGCTAAGCTGAGCAAGATCATAAGTAGGGGGTCTTCTGTTTTTGGGTGGAAAATATTTTCGTTTACAAAATCCTAGGATGAGGGTCCTCCAAGAAATTAAGGACCCTTTCCTACGATTTTGCTTTACGTGAGGCCCTTCCCCCCCTGAGGAAGGACACCCCTTAGGATCCGGGACACGATACAATACTACAATACAATATTCGTATTTAAATGCCCAAAAGTTTTTATCGAAGTATATACATATATATTCTTTTATCAAAGAAAAATTATACGTTTGTGTATATAATTCTTAATGCATTTCATTGGTATTTGAGCGTTGATCTTCCATTTTATTATCGTAGTGTTTGCAGATAGAGGAGATAGCAATTTTCTGAACAAATAAGATATTTCATTTCACGTGACTATTAAAGAAGAAGTAATCATCTCTCTGACATTACAGCCGTTATTTGAACACTGAACATTATAAAAGTTATTGAACTTGAAATATTCGTTCGAAAATGATTGGGATCTGCGTTGCTGGATTTGTAGGTCTGCTAACGTTGCTAATGTGGGCTTGGTCTAAAGTCAGACCCCGCAATTTTCCTCCCGGACCAGTGAGACTGCCTTTTTTCAACAACCTCCTCAGCGTGTCCATGGATGAAAATTTGGCTTGTAAACTGGAAAAACTCCACAAAAAATATGGCTCTATGGTATCTCTGGCGATCGCTGGAAGCAGCACTTGGGATGTGTGGATCAATGATTTCGACATCGTCAAACAGGTTGAATTCAGATTTTTATTTAAAAAACATAGATCGAAGGGAAGAGTTTTTAATATTCAAATCTAAATTTCTAGTCTTAAGACATGACTCATTTTTAAAATATAATCGATTCGAAAGCGCTAAATTTGAAGGCATAAAATCAATGTTTTAAAGGAATGCTTACCAAAGAACAATATAGCTCAATGTCATTTTAAGTGAATATGCCTCTGAAAAATTTGCCTCGGAAATTTGTCTGAAACTTTAAATAATTGATTGACAACCAGGGGCGGATCTAGAGTTTTCTCGAGGGGGGAGGGCGGATTTTCAAAAAAATTTCAAAAATTTAGTCGACTTTTTTTTATTGATCGGCTAAAATGGGTTTCCGAGCTTTCCCAAAGTACTAAAAAGACCCTGTTTTGGCCAAATTTTCCATCACCTTGTGCAAAATTTTGAAAAACAGGCCATAAATGGCTTTTTTAGGCACTTTTTAGAAAACTTTGAACAAAAAATTGCATTTTTTCGGAGCGCGCTCTTCCATTAAAATTAGAGTACAAATTGGCGCCAGAGGCGCTCTTAGAAAAGTTTTGGAGTCCGTCAGCCAAAAATTAATATCCCAAAATATTATTGAGGGGGGGACCTTTTGGGTCGGCAGGGGATCGAATCCTTGAGAGGGGGGGAGAGGAGGAAGCGGACTTATATTCATTTAGACATAAAAATAACGATGGTAACCGACCGATTGTCTCCGATGCACAAACAATTTTTGCCATTTTTATTCAATCCTACTTTTCCCTAAGTGGATTGTAGTTTCCCTTTCAGATTATAGTGGAACATTCAGCGCCTATAATTTCAATTTTTGATTTCACTTGGTTTTCGTTTGTGCAAACAAAGTATGCTCTTTCCAATACTCGTCAAACGCTCAGGGTCGCTCTCGTGTTTGAAGTGCTGATGACATCGTTTTAGCGCTAAGCTAATTCTGGACGCGCCCGTTGTGACTATCCCATTAGAACCAGTTGTAAACTAAAAGTTCTAATTGATTATAAATTTAATTCTCTATTTCTATAAAATATTCCTGGCTGACCAATCGTATTCCATCTCTAATATTTACACTTAATTGTAAGTGCTGAAACTACTTGTAGTTTCAGCAATAGAGCAATTTGAATTATACTTAGAATACAGTTGTTCTTTTTCTGGAAACTAACTAGCATAAACCAGTATACACTAGATCTATTGAGACTAGGAGATAAAAGAGTAAGATTAAGATTGGTATTAGACTAAGAAGTTGCACAAAACTATCCGGCAAAAATAATATAGCGTGACGAACAGACGGAGTACTTTATCTGAAAATACCCTATGAATACAGAACCAAGTACATAACTCAGAAAAAATCATTAATAACATATCATAATTAAAACTAAATTAACAAAGAAAGTTATATATACAAACAATAAACGCAGTTTGTATAGATTTTTTAAAGCCCAAAAGACGAGCAGCAAAGGAGACGACAACCCAATCACATTCATTCCAACTCCGGAATGGCAAATCTATTCGATTTGCTGCCTAAACTTACTACCCTCAAAGGATTTAAAGTAGCGACTCAGCATCGCAGCAAAGGGGAACCATTGAACCAGACCAATGGCCATCTTGATGTTGACTACACGTAAAAATCCTAGTCACTTGGCACTTTACACGGGAATGTCGAACTTCACCCTGCACGTAGTCTCGCTCTAAACTTAACGAAAACGATACGTCATTGCATCGATCAGAAGTCTTGACACAATCACCCAAGACTACCACAATCAACGAGACCCATCTAGAGATACAAACATAACAATCTTTTCCCGTCAAACACAAACAGCCACACTTCTCCTTTCTCCATGAAATAATTACTCTTTTAAACAAAAAAAACCCTAAAATTAAAAAAATTTACCACATGAGATTTAAAAAATCTCAACAACGACAATCAACGCGACGTCGAAATCAACCAAAAAAAGATTACAAAAACCTTCATTCCGCAATCTAAAAAATTAAAGAAAGTTGAATTTCAAAACCCTCTTTCAAACTAATTATCATTTTGAAACTTTCAGAAATACAACACCTTATGACATGGTTTCTAATCAAAAACCACGGAAACTAATAATACTCACAAAAAACTCCTCAACCAATACACCAGGTTATGGCCAAACTACAAAAGAATTAATGTGTTATATTCTACCATTACATACACACGATGAAGACAATTTTCATCACCCACAAATTTTAAAAATAGCCTCCGGCACACATACCGAAAGGATTTTAAACAGAAATAACACACAATATCAAAATTCACAACAAAACTATAGAAGTAGTACACGTAAACATCAAAGACAATTTAAGCAAGTACAATCAACTGAAGAAACTCAATTAGACCCTCCCGCTATTTATAACACAGAAACCACAGAACTACAACTAAATCATGTAATTTACGAATCCACTGACGATGAGAGCAAAACAGAAAGTATGCTTTCAATAATCATGCTTCAGATTAAAAACGAATACGAAACACCATTAGAATCAAATTATTATCAAAACAATAATAATCATTTCCAAAACCCCTATAATATTCAAGAAAAAACAGTTTATACTGAACAAGAACTGAACGGAAGTTCAAGCACAAACAATATATATCAGAATACATTGAATACTATACAAATAACCAAAAAAAACTTTGGACAATCCCACTTCTCTTAGAAAGTCCAAAAAGTAAAAATTATCAATCACCAGACCTCGAAAAGATTTTTTAATAGGGGGGGGGGGGGGAGGAGGAAGCGGCCTTATATTCATTTAGACATAAAAATAACGATCATAACCGACCGATTGTCTCCGATGCACAAACAATTTTTGACATTTTCATCTTGAGCCTGCGCATTCAATCCTACTTTTCCCTAAGTGGATTGTAGTTTCCCTTTCAGATAATAGTGTAACATTCAGCGCCTATAATTTCATTTTTTGATTCACTTGGTTTTCGTTTGTGCAAACAAAGTATGCTGTTTCCAATACTTGTCAAACGCTCAGGGTCGCTCTCGTGTTTGAAGTGCTGATGACATCGTTTTAGCGCTAAGCTAATTCTGGACGCGCCCGTTGTGACTATCCCATTAGAACCAGTTGTAAACTAAAAGTTCTAATTGATTATAAATTTAATTCTCTATTTCTATAAAATATTCCTGGCTGACCAATCGCATTCCATCTCTAACATTTACTCTTAATTGTAAGTGCTGAAACTACTTGTAGTTTCAGCACTAGAGCAATTTGAATTAAACTTAGAATACAGTTGTTCTCTTTCTGGAAACTAACTAGCATAAACCAGTATACACTAGATCTATTGAGACTAGGAGATATAAGAGTAAGATTAAGATTGGTATTAGACTAAGAAGTTGCACGAAACTATCCTGCCAAAAATAATATAGCGTGACGAACAGACGGAGTAGTTTATCTGAAAATACCCTATGAATACAGAACCAAGTACATAGCTCAGAAAAAAATCATTAATAACAAATCATAATTAAAACTAAATTAACAAAGAAAATTATATATAAAAACGATAAACGCAGTATGTATAGGTTTTTTAAAGCCCAAAAGACGAGCAGCAAAGGAGACGACAACCCAATCACATTCATTCCAACTCCGGAATGGCAAATCTATTCGATTTGCTGCCTAAACTCACTACCCTCAAAGGATTTAAAGTAGCGACTCAGCATCGCAGCAAAGGAAAACCATTGAACCAGACCAATGGCCATCTTGATGTTGACTAGACTTACAAATCCTAGTCACTTGGCACTTTACACGGAAATGTCGAACTTCACCCTGCACGTAGTCTCGCTCTAAACTTAACGAAAACGATACATCATTGCATCGATCAGAAGTCTTGACACAATCACCCAAGACTACCACAATCAACGAGACTCATCTAGAGTTACAAACATAACAATCTTTTCCCGTCAAACACATACAGCCACACTTCTCCTTTCTCCATGAAGTCATTACTCTTTTAAACAAAAAAAACCCTAAAATTAAAAAAATTTTACCACATGAGATAAAAAAATCTCAACAACGACAATCAACGCGACTTCGAAATCAACCACAAAAAGATTACAAAAACCTGTTACTTGTCAAACGCTCAGGGTCGCTCTCGTGTTTGAAGTGCTGATGACATCGTTTTAGCGCTAAGCTAATTCTGGACGCGCCCGTTGTGACTATCCCATTAGAACCAGTTGTAAACTAAAAGTTCTAATTGATTATAAATTTAATTCTCTATTTCTATAAAATATTCCTGGCTGACCAATCGTATTCCATCTCTAATATTTACACTTAATTGTAAGTGCTGAAACTACTTGTAGTTTCAGCAATAGAGCAATTTGAATTATACTTAGAATACAGTTGTTCTTTTTCTGGAAACTAACTAGCATAAACCAGTATACACTAGATCTATTGAGACTAGGAGATAAAAGAGTAAGATTAAGATTGGTATTAGACTAAGAAGTTGCACAAAACTATCCGGCAAAAATAATATAGCGTGACGAACAGACGGAGTACTTTATCTGAAAATACCCTATGAATACAGAACCAAGTACATAGCTCAGAAAAAAATCATTAATAACAAATCATAATTAAAACTAAATTATCAAAGAAAATTATATATAAAAACGATAAACGCAGTATGTATAGGTTTTTTAAAGCCCAAAAGACGAGCAGCAAAGGAGACGACAACCCAATCACATTCATTCCAACTCCGGAATGGCAAATCTATTCGATTTGCTGCCTAAACTCACTACCCTCAAAGGATTTAAAGTAGCGACTCAGCATCGCAGCAAAGGAAAACCATTGAACCAGACCAATGGCCATCTTGATGTTGACTAGACTTACAAATCCTAGTCACTTGGCACTTTACACGGAAATGTCGAACTTCACCCTGCACGTAGTCTCGCTCTAAACTTAACGAAAACGATACATCATTGCATCGATCAGAAGTCTTGACACAATCACCC